TTACCTAAAAGCCAAGAAAGCTGCCCAAATCCACCACCTTCTAAATCTACCATTAAACCCCAAAAGGATGTTACCAACCATGCTGTTTTGCCTGTCAAAGCTGCAAGGCCGAGCAGCATTAAACTCCAGTCCAGACCAGCTAATATAACAGCATCCCAGAAACCAAAGTTAGAGGCACCAAAACTAGTAGGCAGAAGTCTGACTGCAAGAGGTGTTTCCTCTAACCCAAACTGTAAACCTTCCAGCAAGAGTCACCAGCAGCATGAAGCTGGATCATCTGCTAAAGGAAACTGTCGAGAAAGCCCATGAGGTCAGCTAATGCACAGGGACTGAAAACTACAAAGCAGCAGATAACAGGTCAACAGAAAACAGATTTTGTGGGTAACATCCTCGTTGAAAGCAAATGTTTAGATGGCCTTCTCCATAAAGTTAATGAAGTTAAACAAAGAGAACATACCTCAAACCTTATCAGAACCTAAGAAGTAGATCCTGCATTATGTAGCACAAACAAGCCAAAGATTAACTCTTACAATCAAATCAAGAGTAATCTGACTGCTAAACAAGTTTTGGGCAAAAGTTTGGAGAACAGTGCTATTCTGAAACACAAAGTTAATAACCAATTTGTTAGAAAAACACAAATAAGGACTCTCCTAGTAAAGTTACAGCAACTCTCTATAGGAGCTGAGCTTGCAAGACCAGAAAAGCCCCAAAGGACAGTTTCCTCTCACTTCATTCACACCCTTAGTAGGACTCCAGCATCAGAGATCAGTGGTCAAGCACATAAAGGATGTAAAGGTTAACAAGGGTAAATATGAACTATCAAAAGTAACTAAGGTGCAGTCATACACTAATACTGAAGAGAATGTAAAATATACCAAACTCAGGACATACCCCAGTTCACTGCAGGGAGCACCCTACCAACCGACATCCAAACATCAAGCAAGATCAGAAGACCACACAACCTTGATTTAGGTCCCAGACAAGTGTATTGCAAAAGTCAAAATCCATAAGCCAGAGGCCTAATTTGACAACTTCAACTTGAATTCAGTCATTCCAACCACTCCTGGCGTGAGGGCAAATAGAACAAACAGCTTTCAACAAAGAGCCCAGACTGTGGACCCCAAGTTGAAAAATACTTTTCCCCTGAAGCATTTCCTGAGCAAGATAGCTCCCAAAACTCAAGCTAGTATCAGAACTGGAAATGAGAGAGGAGTTCCAAATGGTACCCAAACTAATCCCAATATTAAAAAGACAATAGCAGAGGATTAAAGAAAACAGCTAGAAGAATGGTATAAATCTAAGGGGAAAAATCTATAAATGGCTCCCTATGGAAATTATAACAAAAAGAAAAGTCATAGAGCAAATGAATATGTCAGGGGGCCAGGGATATAGCTCAGTGGCATAAGCGCCTGCCTGGAAAGCACAAGGTCCTGAGTTCGACCCCTGGTACCGCCAAAACAAAACAAAAATGAATATTTCATTCTGGAAGAGCAAGGAAGATGAAAAGGAAGAAAAGCAAGCACAGTTGAACCTGTGCAATAAGATTAACAGCACTCTGGCAGAGTGTCTGAGGCTCACTGAAGAGGGTATACTTTCTTTTCTTTTTTTTTTTTTTGTGAAGACTATTTTTAATCGCTGCAGTAGCAGAATGTTAAGGCAACATCAGAAAGCAGAGGTGTTTTAAAACACTAAGCCCGACTCCCCACCTGGTATATCCAAATAAGATATTACTAAATTCCTTAATACAAAAATGTTCCAAAATAATCTGTTGGAGTTTTGACTTTGCAATTTAACCTTTTATATTTTGACGGCAGAGAGAAAGAACCCGGGCCTATAATGCCCTTTGCAAAAAATTCAAAATCTGTTTTACTCACAATCAAAAGAAAAAAGTATGTTCTGTTTGCTTGTCAACCATCCTTTTTAATTATTCTACTGTATCCAGGCTATAGCTGGGAATGGATGGCTAACTTGAATATAGAAAATATCAAATCACTTCTGGAAGAATCACAATCAACACAATAAACTTCTCAATCAATACATCAACAGTCAGGGTAAGCAAGAAAAGGACTTTACCAAGAGACCAACATTTACACTTTTTATTTTATTTTTTTATTTTTATTTTTATTTTCCAGGAACCGGGGATTGAACTCAGATCCTTGCGCTTGCCAGGGAAGCGCTTATTCCACTGAGCCATCTCCCCAGCCCATTTACACTTTTTGACAGAACTGAAATACAACAAATTACAGAGCAAATTTACCAAAACAACAATGAAAACTCTGTCCATGTAAAGGCTAATTTTAACTCCCAAAAAAGTGTTGCAATTCTGTTACAGCACACAACTGGTTAAGAAAATAAAGCACAGTGCTTAGCAACTGAGCATCCTAACTACAGAAAGAGGCACTCTGTGCTCACCCATCCCTGGCAACTGCTGGGTCAGCAGGGCCAGGAGCAGGGAAAGCCTCCTATTTTTCAACACAAGCTGCTGCTGTTTCCTTATTGAAGCCCCGGATGGACAGGTCATAAACCACCTCCTCCACTTTCTTCACATCGTACTTCAAGCCATCATAGCGCTTCCTCAGAGAGTTGTTCTTCAGGTTGAGAAGGCGAAAACCGGAATCCAGCTCATTGATGAAGGTAGAGATGTGGAGGGGCCGGGAGTAGTCTCCAGCAGTCACACAGTTGACAGACAGCCTCGACAGTTCGCTAGCAAGAATTAAAACTCCTGAGAGATAATCTTCTACATCCAGATGAAAACCTTTCTCCCGATCTGGTTCAATGCCAAGAATTTCTGTAA